AAACCATCTTCAGTGTATCTGTTACAGTTATAAGACAAACTTTATATTTTGTATATATGTATAAAAGGAGATTAGTCAGTAAATATTGGTATATAAAGACGTACCGATATAGGTTTTAATTAACAATCCTTCATGTTCAAGAGATGTCTGTATGTTAGTCACAAAAGTGTCAATATAATAAAATGTGTGGTAATGTCAATACATCGTCTTGTACTGGCATATCCAAAGGAGCCCGAGGAAACACCTCAATATCAGAATAAGTTAAACAGCTTTCTTAAACGTTTAAGTATTGGGACCTTATGTTCAAAAATTGTATCTTAACAAATTTCAAGCGTCAAAACTTCGAGAGATTAACTTCGCTGCGTGTGTACGTAAAATGAAAATTGTCGCGCGCGGAATCAGAAACAGATTTAGTCGCTTGCGCGTTGCCACACCGCGTGCCGATCGGATTGGACGCGCATGCGTCTAGCCGGCACCTTCTTGCGTCGCTGTCGCTTTGATTCTCATTTCTCCACGCACGTAATCGGTATCCCGACGATAATCCTTTATCGCTAAAGAGCCGGAGAATCGTAGGCAGATACGAATGCGATTTTCAAAACCTGTTATGGTCGTTCCGGAGCCTCCAAGGTGGTCTACAATTGCAGTAATAACTCAATTATCCTCTCTGGACTTCGTGCCCGCCTATCTGCCTCTTTTACTCTCAAATCTTTCACTCCGTTCCTCCTTTACCCTCGTCTCTCTTTCTCGCTCGTCTCTCCTTTCTCCACCGCCACGTATCTTCTCTGTCCCCTCTTCATCTTTCTCCTTGCGGTCTCTTCCTTCTCCCTTTGCGGTTTCTTCCTCCTTATACCTCGATTCGATCCCCTCTGCGCGCTCTACCGACCGACCGCGCCACCCTCCTTGTGGAACATAATAAACCCTTCGATCCCATCACGATCTTTCCATCCACATATTATTAGGGCCTTGCACACACGCCGGGAGTTCGGGCCCCGACTATATACCCCCGTCGAGTGCGCGGACTAGAATTGTTGTTTCACGATTAGCTTATAGACCGCGGTGAGTCGCTTTATCTTTATTTACTTGCATATTGATCGCAGCGGTAAATATTCGGTTTTGTTTTTTTTTTACACATTTGTTTTCTCTGTTTGGAGAAATATTCTAAGAAAAATCTTGTGTGACGTAACGCGTGAAAATGTGATTCTCTCTCTCTCTCTCTTTTTAACGAATTAAAAGATTTTTTAATAAATTAAAAGGACGACGTGTATTTTTCTAAATTTTTTTTTGTCAAAAAGTTACATCAACATCGCAGCGTTCTCGTTACGTCGGCTAATCGTGAATACCCCAAGTCCGAGCGACACGGTCGCGAGCATAAATCAAAGCGACGATCGCCAACAGAGAGAGCTTTCGGTTAAATCGTTATCTACCGCGGCAGATTCGGCTCCGTCTCGATAAAATATAATATATTTTCTCGTCGCGAGAAAGGAAATCTTCGTAGACAGCCGGAAGAAAGACGGAGTCGGACACAAAGAAAAGGAGAAAGCAGAACACGACGCAGCGAGCGGAAGAAGGAGAGACTGCGCGGTACCGCGTGCCGGAGGCACCATGGGTTCGCTCCAGACTAGAGGGGTTAAGCCAAAGCCCCATCGATCATGGGATCCAGCCAGTCCACGATCCCATGACTCTGACCATAAAGCCTCGTAAGACCCGCGCCAAAGAGAAGTTCGAGCGAGAGCCGACAAGAGAAAGAGAGAGAGAGAGAGAGAGAGAGAGAGAGAGAGAGAGAGAGAGAGAGAGAGGGAAACGAGTTGGACCCTGTAACCGTGAACTCTGCACGCCGCGGCTTTATGGCAGTACGACGACGTAGAATTACCCCCGTCGTAAGCAGGTATATACTTAAATCTCGCGCGCGCATGCATGTAAGTCGCGCACGAAAATTACGTCTGTGCGCGAACGATCAATATTGTGGAAAATCTCTCGTCTGTGTATTACAAAGGAGGTGCGGCGCGATTTATTCGTTTCCCCCGCTCACGTTGTGATTGGGGGGCTGATGTTGTCGATTGAGATTCCACCAACATCAAACCTGACAGTATTTAAAACACAATGTTCACGCAAATAAAAAGCATTTGTCAGCAATTTTAACGCAATTCGAGTCAAAACCAAATTTGTTTTGTCATCGCGAAGTCACAACATTGTGTACATTTCTATTATCCACGAGTTTTGAAAGTGAAAACTTGTTGGCGCTGTAGTGGTCTGTTTTCCCAACCCGAGTCATTGGTCGCATTGCCAACCACGTGACTCTCCGCTGTTGTTGACTCCATCCTTCGGTCGGAGATAGCTCACTCCCTCGCTTCCGCCCTCCTCCTCTTTCCAATTCGTTGCCCCCTTCACCCCCGCGGTCAGTTCTCTCTTTCCCTACCTCCTTCCTTCCTTCCTTCCTTCCTCGCGAAGCCAATCTTCCATCCCTGGAGTAAGACATTGAGGCACCTGCTAGAGTCCAGCTCAATCAGGGAGTATAGCATGTCGGCACCCAGGCCGACGGCGGTAGTGGGAGAGCTTGCACGGCATACCGTGGAACTGTATCCGGACGGAGCAGAGGGGCCCTCGACCGACTGGGTGGTCCTACCGCTTCAGTTGTGTTCCGACGCGCTTCAAGCCAACACTACGAACACACTATTTCTGATCCGCCGGTGTGTTGTGCCCGGCGAGCGGCCGATCTATCGCACGGTAACCTCGCAAATTATATACCGGTTCCGACGTGCTCTTCTGGCGCTCGGTAGCGCCGATTCGATTCATCGGTAGCGATCTTCCTCTCGATCTCTGTTGAAGAAACTATATCCGATGTTTAGTTTTGCCGATGAAACAAAGTGAAAACAAGAATTAGTTTCGAACGATTTGCCGAGCCAAACGGAAAACAATAGTAATTGCGGTCGAAGTTCGTTTCAAATGCAACAAAGACGACATACCGAGCTATTTGTTGAGTTTGTCAATGGAAGAAAGGAAGAGATTTTTTTTGTTGTTGCAGTCAATTTAGACCATGAAAGTTTCTCGTTTGAAATAAAAGTGAAACAAAACGCATAAATTATATAGTGTTGTTGATCTAGTTAATGATCGATCTGACATTCTTGACAAAGAAGCGTCGATAAACAATAAGTGACTGCGAACCTTCGTGCGTTCAAGTTTTGCACGTCGAAGAGGTGTTTCGTGTAGCAGAGAAAAATCGACAGGCGAGAAATCCTCTGTAACGTAAAAAAAAGAAAACGCCGGAAACGGAATTTTGTGAAATCGGTGGAAAAGATAAAGGCGACAAAGATAATTCTTCTTTGCCGCTGAAGCGGAACGAAGTCGATAGCAGCAAAGTGCGAATAAAGGAGAAGGTATAAGAAACGATAACGACAAGGTGGCGCGGGGTGTAATCAAATGCGGGTTTATTTAGAACGGCTTTGATAAAGTGGTTAGTGCGAAAGCGTGGATCGGGCCAATCATACCTGATTGCCTGGACGTGAGTTGTGCGAACCGAGAGGAAGAGAGAGAGGGAGAGAGAGAGAGAGAGAGAGAGAGAAGAAGGGAGAGAGAGAAAGGCTAGTCGTCCACCATCGTGGCTCGTTGCTCACGTCGAGGATGAAGACGTCTTCGCGCCGGAGGATGTTACGTGCCACGTGATTCATAGCAACGTCCTTTTACTTTTGTCAATCGACAATCGTGCGCGCGTTATCACCTAATTCCTTCTTCTCCGACCGAAATATGTCTGTTCGCAAAGTGACTTCGCTTTGACAAACAAGTAAGTTTCGAACTACTTTTAAAACTACTTTGATCGCGAGAGCTTCAAGAGCTTCTGTCTTATTTACATTCGAGAAAAACCGATTAGAGATCAAGGATGACGAAACAAGATACGGTGACGTGCGTTTATTAAACCTCTGAATAAAATACAACGAGTAATTTCAACTCGAGGAAATGCGTTCGAAAGGACCCGTTGTGCTTATTTTTTTTTCTTTCTTTTTCGACAAATTTTCCAGTTCCTGCAGCCTTTCTGCGGACGAAAAAAAAAAAAAAAGGTTTCAACGCTTTTGAAACTTTCTAGTCTAGGTATGCGCGCACCGACGACCCTCCGAGCGGAGCTATTCAACGTTTCCTTCGTATTCTTTCTCGGAGAGAAGTCTCACCGGTGGACGTGGCTTGTGTGTCCCGGGATTTCTCTCTCTACGAAACGCCTAATTCCCAATTTCTATTCCCGCCGCACGTTACCTTGCTTTTGTGACGAAGGGCCCAGCTTTCGCCGCTTTTCGGATACGCACGGGTCTTCGGGCGCGAGAAATATCTCTATTATTGTCATGGAGATGGACCGACGTTTGCTTGTTGACCGACGTCACGCGTCGGTGTCATATATATATATTCGGTTGTTAACTTCACGTCGTTGCGAAAGAGTTTTTTTTCGAATATTTTCAATCAAGCAAACGATCCTCCAATATTTCGAAATCCTATCGACGATCTTAAAAATCCCGCTCCGCGATTTTTATTACATTCAACTTTGCGGGGCAAAGTCGCGCGAGAAATGAGACGCTACGCGGAGAGACTTCCACGCGGGGATCATCCGCGAACGTTTTGTCCCCCGTAATGGAGAGGAACCGGCAAGAGGCTATCGCATATATACAGACGGACGGACACACAACACACGAAGAACCAGTTCTCTCATTTCATTGCGTTCGTTGTCCGATAATGACGCATAGCATGGCGGGTCTGTGCGCGCGGCAAGCGTTATATAGCGCGCGTGTGAAAGCAGCATCGCGCGACGCGCGAGAGCAAACACTACACACGAAAGGAGAGAGAGAGAGAGAGAGAGAGAGCGCCTCCGTCGAATAGAAATTTTCCTCCCACGTGAGGAGCCGAGTCCGGTCCAGCGGATCCGAGAAGGGAGAATTATGCCCCTGCCCCGCGGAGATACCGCAGCCGCTAATTTACGGCAATCACAGGATTTTCGCACAAGGGCAAAAGAAAGGACCGACCGGGAGCTGATCTCTTCTCTAACGAGTGTTCGAGGGATCGTTTACGCGATTACCGACATTTTCACGAGATTGAATTTGTGTTCGCGGTCCGATCTCGGAGGAGAGTCGCGCGCGTCTCTCTCTCGCTTATCCCCCCGGTTTTTCTCGTTTCTTTTCAAACATCGTGTATAACATATAATAGATATAAGTAAATATGTATGTAAGAAGCTTCAAGATTTTTTAAACAAACAAAGGCTTTGTCAATGGCTGTTGAAGCAAACACAGATGCTGATGTGTGAGTAGTTGAATCAATTTATTAACTTAATGCAGAACGTTTTCGACCTTGTATTAGGTCTTTCTCAATACAATTAACCTTTTCGCTCCGGGGATTTTTCCTTTAAAATTGACCTCGCATTTTAGCTGAAAAAGTTAATAATAACCTGCTACCCCCCCTTCAAAGTTAATTTTGAAGGTCAAAGAAGTAACCAGGATTTTTTTCAATTTTTTTCCTAAATTTAGTGCATTAAATTGACCTTATAAACATCTATTACGTTTGCTTTTCTTGCTGGTCCATATATGGACCAGTCCCGGAGCGAAAAGGTTAAATTATTGTTGTAAAAAGTCATCGCACAGCGCTGTCAGAAATGTTCATGTCGCAAAAGCAGACCAGACCAACACTTTACAAGTTGAATAAAGCGACTGAATAATTTTAATTGTATTGAGAAAGACCTAATACAAGGTCGAAAACGTTCTGCATTAAGTTAATAAACTGATTCAACTACTCACACATCAGCATCTGTGTTTGCTTCAACAGCCACCCTTGTAGGAATTGACGAACGGCCCAGTATTGGGTCAATATCAGCAAACGAGGCTCGATATTGGTACGACAGTAGTAGCCAGTACTGGGCGAATATGCTTAATGATTAGATCGGGCCAACGCTGGCTCTTAAGCTCGGCACGATACTTACTTCCGAGATTGGTCAGATATGGATTTAAAGTATTGGCACAATGTTCCAATTTTACTGACACTGTGTACACAAAATATTCACAATTATTCACAAGATACACTTAAACACAATTATCAAAATGCAAACTAATTCAGAGTATTCTGTGAAAACTATAATCTAGCTGATCAGGTTAGGTTAGGTTAGGTTAACTTTCCAAGATCAGTAACTTATGACGCTAACAATGCATTGACAAAGCCTTTGTTTGTTTATATAATAGATAGTTTTTGAGTGCAAATAAACACGCGAGCGCGGGATGCCGTAGCACGGACGTGATTGGAGATTTACGATAAAAACAATTTTTTTGTTTTCTGTGCAAATACAGCGATCGTTGTTGCGAAATTCTCAGTCGTCTCACTGCTGCAATTTGACTTCTTAATTCTGGAGACTAATTTAGAATTAATCTTTTTGTCGATAAGAAGATCACACACTAAAATGTTGTTAAAAAAAACAAAATGCAAATTTTGCTCAAACTTTTCCGAGACACCTTGTATAGATACGCGCGCTCTCGTACAAGGATATACTCTTAACTGCGAAAGATATACGACGATCGGCACGTGTGTTACTCGAGTAATTAGCGAACGCTTCGTTCGAGTGGATGTTAATAGACGTGTCTAAAACGGTTATAAATCAGCGAAGTTATATTAACCGTCGAGCAAACGTGTTGCCTCGAAAATAAAGAAACGTATATGAGGCATTGATGATTAGCAACAAAGGTCGTTTGCAGATACTCTACATTATTTGTTTGCGTTGCAATCAGCACCTTGTCACGTACCGACGTTTCCGCGAAAAGTATAGCAATTAAAAGTAATTAGTGCAATCTTGCGCGCGATGTAATTGTTTAAGTGTCAAGCAACGAACCGTAAGTTTCGAAAAAGAAAAACGTCATAAATCTTTAGAAT